ATTTAATATGAGTTACGCATTAACTCTGTCAGTGATTCTTTTAATGACCGTAGCTGTGTATTTCTCCCCTGTTGTTGTGGTGAATCATAGTATCGGAGCTCCGTTGATGATGGCTTTATCACTAAGATGCTCAAGTCAAAAATGTCTTATCTTTTGACTGCTTGTCTCTGATATCTCCTAACAGTTTTCCAAGAAATTTCTGATATTTACTTTGAAACCGATGCTATATTGCTGCATACTCTGTAGTTCTTATGCATAGAGCATGGCTGGCAGTGAATGCTTGAAAGTCATAGCAACAGTAACCTAGGGAGCGGGGCTTAGCTAAGGATCATGTTATCCAATGACATTCCGTTTGGAGCCTCCACCTTGTTCCCCGGCGCTGCGTTGTGATTGTTTGTCCCTCTTCACCGAAGGACACGGCAGTCATTACGGTAAGTGGTAGGAGCTTGCTTGTAGCGTAGTTATTTTGTAAATGTTGCTCGTGCTTCTGACATTATATGTGGGTTTGTATGCTATATAAACTATGTGTGTACCTACATTATATCAATTGGAATATATTGTCACTAGCTCAGCTCGATACCGTAGCAGTTCGTTAGCGTAGCCGTTCGTTAGCAAAGCGGCTAGTTAGCGTAGCGGCTAGGTAGCGTAGGACTTACTTAGCCCCCAGCATCCTTCGATTCAGCAGGAGAGTGCGGTATTTTAGGTGTTGCGTTAGCTCACACTGGTTGTTTTTAAAATGTGGAATATTCAGTGGCAATGTTTTGCCATTAGCTTAGCTTAGTAAGCTAGCGTAACTTAGCGGGTAGTTAGCGTAACGGCTAGTTAGCCGCCATTGTTCTCTGACTCGGCCAGAGAGTGATGTGTTAGGGGAGAGGGGTGTCGAACGGAGCATTTTTTCATATTTCCCTCTCTGCACAGAGATGCAGAGATGATTGGCTTTGTCAATCAAAAAAGTGTATCAGTTGTGTGTGTGTTTGTGTCAGCTGCTGTTAATGTCAAATCATTACTAAATTATCAGTTTGATTTTAATATGCTTAATAACTGGGTCTTTATACTTTTAGATGCCCCGTGGCAAGTCCTACCGTCGCTCTGAGGCGGCTAAGTGGAGGATGGCGGAGTGACAGTTGGCCTCCAGTGACGCTGGTGCATGTCTGTGGTGTGCTTTCTTGAAATCAACTTTTCATGTATATCCTTGCTGTATGACTGAGTTAAACTCCTAACTTGTGTATTTTTATAGTCTTGAAAAGTTCACATATTGTGTTGAAGTGCTTGAACTTTGAATTTGGTCTCCTTTAAAAAAAAAAAAAAAAAAACATTTTACGTTCATCAACAGCTTGTGGCACAGCGTGGTGCTACAAAGTGCACAAGCGGTCAATTTCTGAGCACACTGGGCGCCAGCATAAATTGGTCATTCCAGTTGAGGTCCCAGGCAAGACGGTATGTACAATTCATAAAGATTTCACTGATGATTAGAAGTTTTAGTTGTGTGTTTTCAGCCTAAAAGAAATCCTGTCTTTTGTTCCAGCTTGTTCTTTTTGTAGGGGCGTCCCATCTGTGCTCCCTTGCAGAAGGGATTGTGCTGATGCCAGAGGATTGCCACACCTTTGGCGTCATGTCCACTCCAGGGGCATGCACTGACCAGCTCAGAACTGAGGATGAAAATGCTGTTCTTCCTCGGATCTCTGATGCTGTTTGTGTCATGGCCCCTAGCAACAACCTTACGGCCAGCAAGACACCTTAGCAAGGAGGCATAGCTTTTGGCCAATACCTGGCCACTGTCTGCAGCGTCTGGCTGACTGCACAGGTAGGTTATTCATGTATTCTTTTTAATGAGGCTGATGTGTACAGGTCAATATGATTTTGTCATTAACCATTATTATTTTGTTTAGGTCTTCGCTGGGACCTTGTCCCACACTTGACAGTCCCGGGGGATATCCAAGAGTTTTTCCGGCATGACACCGTGTGTCAGCACGTCTCGGTATGTTTGAAAATAATGATACATGGTTCTAAACAGTTTTATGAAGGCTTATGAGAATTATATATTTTACATATAATTTCTAATATTATACCCATTATGGTTTTCTAATAAGAAAGTTGACATTGCCTTTTTAAAATGTGTTTTTCAAAAACTGTTTCTTTTCTTGTTCCTTTGTTTTTTTAAGGTGTGAAATATTTTCACCACGCTGACTGCTTCCCCCTGAACAACCGCATGCTGTGGTGCTGTGATGGTGTAAGTAGAATATATTATTTTCATATCATAAATAGAAAATTATTTAACACAGTATGTTTGACAATAAAGGTCACATTTTTCAAAATAATATTTAAATTTGTTTTGTCATTGTTTTGTGTTTGTAGGTGCACCCCAGTGACGACATGGGGATGCCTATCCTCGTGGAGTCGCCGTTGCTGTTCGCTGCCACCAAACAGCACCTGGAGATACCAGCACCTAAGCCACAGGTATCGCGCCCGGTGTCTCCCAAGCCTCTGCTAAAGGTGGTTCCACTTGTGATTGTGGTGGGTGAGGTTGTAGTTCCACGGGCCCCCCCTCCTGAGTGGACGTCTGTACAGTTGGGCAGGAAGGTAAGAGACTGAACTTTGTAAATATGTTTCATGAAATAAAAATAAGGTTGTGAATTGATCCACCTTTTTTTTTTGCTTTTTGTCATTATAGAGGAACCACTCTGAACATGAGCATGGCTCTGGTTCATCACAGAGATGAGTGGTTCATCATGTGGTATGCGATCTTTCAGTTAACCATGATATTTACATAACAGTGATAGTTTGTGTGCTTTATCTAAGAAAATGACAAGTGTTAGAAATAATCTACATGTCTGTCAACACTCTGCCTTGCGAGAGTGTTTCATTCATATTGTATATGGATTACGCTCGCGTAATATCACATAGGATTACGCTTGCGCGGGTCCTAGTCCTTTTTTTTTTGTTAACCAACTGGTCTTTTTCTGTGGGTTTGGGTAGTTCCTAGGGGGTAGTCTAGCTGTTCTTAAGTGCATTCACAAGACACCCAAAGAAGCCCATAGAGATACTATTTGCGTGTCACAGAGGATAGTCAGGTGTCTGGTTATGACAAGTTCAAAGAGACAACTCCGTAGTTCTGGTTGGAGGAGGGTTCCTTGGGGGTAGTCTAGCTGTTATTTTAAGTGCATTCAATGGCACAAGACATGTTCCTGATCAAATATGTAATGTAATTAATGTATGTAATAATTTGAAATAAAATTGTATGATATTTTACACCCTGGTTTCACGTCTCACCTGAATACTGAACCATGATACTGAACTGGTAAATGGTAATGAAATTGTAAGAATGTTGTAATTTAAGAGTAAAAGTCAAGGAATGAGTTGTTTATATGTAGTCATTGCTTAATAGTAAGACAAAAGTAATTGATAATCATGTAGAGTTTCAGTAGTAATTTCAAAAGGGTTGTGCAGCAATGAAAAGTAATTCAATAGTGATGAGTAGTGATAAAACACTACACACACAGAAGGATGTAGTAATTCCATAGGGATTGTGAAGACATACAGCAGTAAATGTGTAAGCATTGTGTAGTTATTCAATAATAAATGTGAAGGAATGAGTAGTGATTATATAGTAATTTCCCAAAATCCAATAGTGAGACAGAAGTGATTGATAATCATGTACAGTTTGAATAGTAATTCAAAAGGGTTTGTGTAGAAATGAAAAGTAATTCAGTAGTGATAAAACACTACATACACAGAAATATGTAGTAATTCCATAGGGATTGTGAAGACATACAGCAGTAAATGTGTAAGCATTGTGTAGTTATTCAATAATAAATGTGAAGGAATGAGTAGTGATAATATAGTAATTTCCCAAAATCCAATAGTGAGACAGAAGTGATTAAGTAGCAATTGTGCAGGGATTTGAATAGGCATCATGTAGTAATTGTCAGTAGTGATCAGTAGTGAAATCACCCAATACATTACTCATTACTATTCAAATCACTACACAAATCACTACACAGCTCAATAGCAATCAAGTAGTGAAACAGTAGTTTTTGTGTAGGTATTTAGTAGTAGTGATGAGTAGTGATTCAGTAGTGTTTTTTCATGTGGGTGGTCCAGACCCCTGCAAGGACCTCAGCTGCATAAGATTACACATGTGCACCTGCAGGGGGCGCTACAATCAAGGTCAATGTGTTTTGGCATGTAACTCCCACACCATATGTCACACATTCAAAAGCCTTATATCCATGGATTCCCTGAATGGAGCTGTATCACGTGTGTATGGCCACGCCCACTTCCGCCGAAATCTACTTTTTCGAACTCCTCCTACAGATTTTGACCAAACTGCATGAAACTTGGCACCTAGACTCAAAAGATGGACCTGATCTAAAGTTATCAAAAGGATTTTGCCCGGTCAAAAAGTGTATGAATTATTGATGAGCAAATTTTTGTAGCTAGCTATGAAAACACGAACTGTTACGTGTCTTTGTCACATTAAAAACTATCAAACCTAAATCTGAGATCCTCAGTTAGTATGTGACTGTGAGGGTGTGAACCAAAGTTGGTGAACATTGGCCACTAGGGGGCGCTATGAACATGGGAAGTTTATATCTCCTAAACAGTTGCACCGATTTTTATGAAATTTGGTGGGTATGATAAAGGGCCGTTCCTGAGGCCATATATTGAAGGTTGTCATGAGTGGTCAAAGTGGGCATGGCTTATTACAAGATAAAAAAACAAACATTTATTTCAGCTGAAGTATTATACTGAGGGCTGTGAAATGTATAGAGTATAGAATAGGACACAGATAATAATAAATTTGCTAGCTAAAAAAACATCTTGTCGCATATTTTTGTCAGACAATCAATTATATCAGCATGACACTTAACGCATTGTTCAAGGTGTCGTTCAGATGCTTGGTGCCAAATTTGGCGCAAATTGGCCACTAGTGGACGCTGTAAACCGAGAAATACCACGTTTCATAAAAGGTGATTGGATGTGTAAGAAAATTGGTGAGCATGATGTGAGGACAGTCCTGAGGCCAGCCAAAATGCTTGGTAATGATTGGTCACAGTGGGCGTGACTTATTGCAACAAACGCATTCAGCCTTTAGGACTTCCAATGCACTTCCCATTACGGTGAATACTGCAGCTCAGACGTTGGCCTGTGTCCTGATGCTTGCCCCGAGCATGTTGTCCTTTGGGGCCGGCTATTGTGAGCTCCATGGGGCGTGGAGGCCGAGTTGCGCGGGGAGGCTTGGACCTCGTTCATAACTGCTTGCAGTTCGAGTTATTATTATTTTTCTGACAAATTAATTGCCTTTTTGGAGTCTTTATCATAGTCAAAATCTCACCAATTTTTGTGTGCGCTTTAGTCCCCATGAAAATTCTGGTGTGATATTGATTTTGTTGGGGGGCGGGATGAAATGACTTGGCCACGCCCCTTAAACAGCAGCCCCCGCAGCATGTTTCACCAACATGCATGAAAATCGGTACATACCTGTATCATGCCCAGATGCACAAAAAAGTCTCTTGGACCCATTGCCTAAACCCAACAGGAAGTCAGCCATTTTGAATTCTATGGTCATTTTTGGCGTTTTGCACGTGTTGTGTTTTAACAAACTTGTCATACAGAGTTGATCGGATTGGCTCCAAACTTGGTTTATGTGAGCCTGACCACCTTGTGACCAAAGTTATCAGAGGATCTGCCCAATGTTGAATAGTGCGCCCACTGCGGAACATTGAATTTTGAGGTCTCGCCATGAAAAACGAAATTGCTATAACTTTGGTGTAAATGGTCCAATCTCCACCAAACTTCACAGAATTCATATTAGTCCCGCCCTGAGCACATTTACATAACCCTATTTCCTGATAGTGTTAGCACCACCTAGTGGCGACAAGAATTGGCATGTTTTACACTTTAACCTGCTCCTCCTGAACGGTTGACCATATCCAAGTCAAATGTGGTCATAAAGGCCTTAAGAACTTGGTTGTGTTATATTGTGAATATGGCATTATGTCACCAAAGGGCATCACCATAAGGGGACGGGGAATTTGGATGTTTCGCCAAAACACAGGAAATGGCATTAACTGAAGTGTTCTTGGTTCAATCTGAATGAATGAATGAATGAATGAAAATGTTTATTTCGGTCAGGTCATTTAACAAAAATACACAATTTAACAGAAAATATCAGTATAACTAGAAAATAACCAAACCGAAAAGGCATAGGCTGAAGCTAACGCTTATTTTCGCCTACCCTTCTTACATGATCAGCTTATTCAGATTAAATCATTCAAAACATTAAACAGAAGATAATACAATATTAGGGCGGCATGGTGGTGTGGTGGTTAGCACTGTCGCCTCACAGCAAGAGGGTTGCCGGTTCGATCCTGGGTGTGGGAGCCCTTCTGTGCAGAGTTTGCATGTTCTCCCCGTGTCAGTGTGGGCTCTCTCCGGGCACTCCAGCTTCCTCCCACAGTCCAAAGACATGCACATTGGGGACTAGGTTAATTGATAACTCTAAATTGTCCATAGGTGTGAATGCGAGTGTGAATGGTTGTTTGTCTCTATGTGTCAGCCCTGCGATAGTCTGGCGACCTGTCCAGGGTGTACCCTGCCTCTCGCCCGATGTCAGCTGGGATAGGCTCCAGCCCCCCC